TTCTTGAGAGACAGTTGTAGAAGGGCTAGGTAGTTGTGCCTTCAGAAAGTTCACACATTTACTGTGGGAGACACCTTGCTTATGGAGTTGCTGGAAACTTCAGGATATCCAAACCAGAGAAGAAAATTTCATAGTCTCTACACTTCTGATGGGTCCACTGGTTCTCTTTACCAAGTATGCTTTCTCAATGGTTCCTGGTTCTACAATTAGGAGAGTGTCATCTTTCAGCATTCCCGGAAGCTCCTCAAAGAAAGTGTAATCATGGAGTCTTGTCTGGAGGTCACTTTCCCTGACCTCCGTCCATCTCAGCATCTGGCACAGGGCTGAGTGCATGAATGAATGATCATCACCATTAACAAACATTCCTTGTTGTTGTTGTGAAGTGCCATCGAGTCGGTTCCAAACCATAGCAACTCTGTATAGGGTTTCCGAGGAGCAGTTGGTGAGCTTGAACCGCCGACCTTGCAGTTCAAAGGGCTTTGCAGTCTGGCACCTTAACCCACAGTGCCACAGCAGGACTCCCTTAGCCATTCCGTAATGAGACACAACCAAGAAGCACAACAGGAATGAGTTCTTCAGTTCTGGTAGATATAGAAGGGGGAGGGAGGGTTTCTATTTCAACATGCCCTCAAGTGGTTTCTAATTCTTGGTGCCTCTGTAGGGCAGGATAGAACTGCTCCTTAGGGTCTCTGGGACTGCATTTTTCTTGGAGTTCACAACCTCATCTTTTTCCCAATCTTACTCCCTGACTCTGAATATTTTCTACAAGAAAATACAGAAACTCAAATCAATACGAGTGTGAATTTGACAAAAGCCATTTGGTTTCCTACTTTGATTTATATCTTAACTGGTTATTTGCACCAGTATTGCTTGGTGGTTTAAGTGGGTAAGAGTTATTTCAGGGTTATGGTAAGAGATGAGTGTTGCCTCAGCCTTGCTACTTCCTTCCACCCTGACTCCCAGCTTGCTTCTGGTGGAACTTAATGCTTTTCTCTAGGACAACTTTATCATAAAGGTTCTTTAGAGTCTGAAGCTAATGTTTCAAGGCCTTGGTTTTAATCCATTAGGTTGGACTGTTGGTGTTTTCTCATGTTTGCTTTACAGACCTGGTGGCTACTAATCTTGCTTGCTTTAACTGAGTGATGTGAGGGTCATCTGCAACCTATATCGATGCTGGGTGCTTTGAAGTTCAATGTGCAGTAAAAAGTCCATTAAAACGATGTGGAATCATGAAAATGAGGTTATAGAAATGTTAACAAAGGATCATTTCCTGCTTCCTGTACTTTTCTTTTTCCTTTTTCTCTAGAGAATTTCTGTCACCATTAAAATCATGAAACAGTTAAGGAAGGACAGACCTGGGTCAAAAAGAGGGTGAGATTCTTGAAAAGATATCTTGGCAAGGACACAGTCTTGCTTTCTTAATTGAGAGTTTGGGGTCTAAAGGAATAAAATTAAGTAAAAAAAACAAAAAGTAGGAAAAAAATCTACAATTCTAATGGAGTAAGAGTTGCAACCCAACACTTTTAATAGGAGTCCGCTGTTTGGAATCATTGGGTCCAACCTCCAAGCAGTGATTGGTGCCAGTGGATGCCTCCTGTTCATTGGAAGGAACAGAGAAAGGCAGAGAAGAGGAGAGAGAGGTGGAATACGAGAAACAGAGAAAGGGAGAGGAAAAGAAGAGAGGTCCATAGCTGGGGTGGCAGAGTACTACTGAAATTGTTTCATGGCAGCTTTGGTGGCTTGTACACTGCCACACTGCGCCATTTTTCCTTCAGGACCTTCTAACATGAGTCAAAGTCTAACTCTCAGGGGGTGTTCTGAGAATCCAAAAACTAAAATCATACCAGCACCTGGCATGACCTCCAGGTGGATGCCCCCTTATACCTGGCAATGCCCTCTTCTGGCTTGGCCACAGAGACACATTTCATGAAGCAAGAAATTGTGTTTGAATTGAATTGTGTTCCCCTAAAACAGGGGTGGGGAACGTCAGGCTCTTGGGCTGTATGTTGTTGTTGTTAAGTACTGTGGAGTCTGTTCCGACTCATAGTAACCCTGCATAGGGTTTCCGAGGCTGTAAATTTTTACAGGAGCAGAAAGCCTCATCTTTCTCCTGCAGAGCAGCTGGTAGTTTCGAACCTTTGACCTTGCGGTTTGCAGCCCGATTTGTAACTAGTACGCTATCAGAGCTCCTTATTGGGCTGTATAAGGCCCTGCCAGGGCAATCGCAGTTCCAGCCACCACATTGTTGTTGTTATGAAGTGCCATTGAGTCGGTTCCAACCCATAGTGAACCCTGTACAGGGGTGAGTTAATTAAATATTTGACCAAATATACCAGGCTAATTTTTAAGTTGGTAATTTCGTATGTCCTGTGGCCGATGTTACAAATTTTGCAAGGAAAACAGTTTCCCACCCCTGCCCTAAAAGATGTGCCTACTTCCTCATGGTTCTCAGCATTATGTACTTGTCCTCCATTTTGTAATCTCATATCCTTGTCCTTTGGGTTGAAACTCCTCATCTTTGATGATTATGAGACTGGATCAGAGGCAGCTATGTTGATGGGACTGCCTGCAATGTACAAGACTAGGTGGTATTTTTTATTTGTTTATTTACTTTTATTGAAGTTTTTATTGTGGATTGAGTGAAAGTTTACAGAGAAGAGCATCAGTTTCACATTCAACAAATCATACACCTTGTTTCATTACAATGATTACATTCCCCTCCATGTACCATCAGTTAATAGTATTTCTCTCTATTCACTTTAACTCTTTTTTTAAAAAACAACAACACTCAGGCATATATAATAATTTACACCACCAAAGGGCACATTCTGCAAGTCTGCCTCCTGGCCGCCAGCTCTTAGTCCCTCTCTTTCCATGAATCTAGAGTCCTCAGCTGCTCCCTCTCTCATTGTCCCCATCTCTGCTGTCGTTGCTTCTCTAAATAACGTCCCACATCCCGCTTGTGCTGTTTTCCCTTGATGGCCCTAAGGTCCTTTGTTTCTGGACTGTAAGATTAACTGCTCCCCCATTTTTGCTACAAAACTTCTACCTTTACAGTTGTGACAGTGGCAATTAGTCATGATAACTATTACTGACTATTGATTCATAAGAATCTAACCCCCATCTCTTTTTACCAGACCCATTTAGACAAGATGAAAACTATTCAGTGGGGACTCTTTCTTTTCCCCACACACTCTTAAACTAAACTCCCTCTTGAAACCTAGGTTGCATTTTGAGATATTGTTATTAAATGATGTCAAGTTGGTTCCAACCCATAATGACCCTATATAGGGTTTCTGAGGAGCAGCTGGTGAGCTTGAACTACTGATATTTTGGTTCAAACCAACTTTGCAGTTCAGCGCATTAACCCACAGTGCCACACCAGGACTCCTTTTTGAGATATAAAAGGTATTAAACAAGCAAGTGGAGTCATGATTTAGTGCTGTAGAATAGACACTTGGCCCATCAGCCGCTCCTCAGAAACCCTATACAGGGTTGCTGGGAGTCAGAACTGACTCAGTGGCACTTACCAGCAAGCAAACAAGCAAGCGGTGACCAAGAAAGAAGAGTTGGAAGCAGGGCAAATTATCTGGACCCAGGTTCCCTGCACTGAGAATCAACTGTGGGAGACTGATACCAAAACACACGGAGTTCCCCAGGGAACGCCAGAGCCACAGATACCGACAGGAGACAAGGCCCTTTCTCCAGAGCTGATAGAGAGAAATTCTTCCTCTAGCTCTGAATTTGGATTTCTATCCTCCTCAACTGTGAGAGACTAGATTCCTGCTTGGTAAAGCCATTCACGTGTGATGTGTCTTTTTCCCTTCACTGGGTAACTAAGACAGAAGTCTGTTGGGTATCATGGTTCTGACTTGACAATTACTAGAACATTTCAGAGGTCAGCCGTCCAGCACCCTCATTTTCCCACAAGGATGATTTCACTGAGGGTTACAGACGTTGCTAAGGTGAACCACCAGTTAGTGGCAAAGCCAACGTTCTCCCGCTAGACCATGTGCCCTGGTTAAAGGAAGGACCATACCTGTAAATCCATTGTTACGTCCCAAATGACAAATGGCAATACATCAGCACCTTTATTTCTTGGCAGTCTTTCTCTTCCAGCAGCCACACATAGGCACACACTAACACATACCTAACACATGTACACAGGCACACACTAACACATATACAGCTTACCATGAGCTCTAAAACAAAATATACCGAGAGGCCCCTCTATGGTTTGGTTGTTACTGCAAGGTTTTTAGAACTGCTGCTGGATGGCTCCAGGTTAGAGCCAGACTTACCCTCCGTCTTGCAACCCGGCTGTGGTTGAGTCTCATGAGTTCTGCAAATCTCTGTTCGTAGAGATGAAGCAGTAGCACCAGGTAAAAGCCTGAATTCATCAGCTCATTTTGTGCCTAAACATGGATAAGAAAGCTCTTAAATTCATACATAAATATTCATAATCTAAATCATGGGATGGAAGGTAACAAAGCAAGAAACAGGACAAGAACCCAACCCCAAGACCAGGCCTACCTCTGGGGACCAGAGAACTGGGCAGGAGATCCAGGGGTAAAAGCTACAGCAGCTGCCCTCCTGGGATTCTTTGCCCCTTAGAAGAGGATGCTCTGAAAAAAAGCACCATTCTCCAGATTCGATCCCATTCTATGAATATTTACTGAACAGTAACACATGTTGTTTGGTAAGGTAGAGGGTCAGAGAAAAAGAGGAAGATCCCTAGTGAGATGGATTGGCAAAGTGGCAGCATCAATGGGCTCAAGCATGGCAACAATTGTGAGGTTGGCCCAGGATCAGGCAGTGTTTTGTTCTGTTGTACATAGAGTCGCTATGAGTTAGTAGCAACTCGATGGCACCTAACAACAACAACATATACAAAGCTTTGTATTGGGTGTTGGGAACACAGAGACTGATGGGCTCCTGTCATGGGTTGAATAGGGAACCCCACCCTACCTCAACAAAAAAGATATAATAATAGTGAGCTACGTCTATGTCCTAACCTCAGAAACCTGTGTGACTTTCTGTGGAAGAAGGGACTCTGTTTTACAGATATAATTAAATTCAGGATCCTGAGACATCATCATCCTGGATTGTTCAGTTGGGCCCGTTATCCCATGTCCTTATAAGAAAAAAAGCTAAGGGAGAGGTTTGAGTCAGGCAGAAGAGGACAAGACATGGACACATGGAGATGAGAAGGCCATGGGAAGCCATCAGCCAAGGAACCCCTGAAGCCACTAGGAGCTGGGAGAGGCAAGGCAAGGGTCTCCTCTAGAACTTCTGTAGGGTACACAGCCCTGCAGACACCTTGTTTTCAGACTTCTGGCCTCCAGAACTGGAGAGAATCTAAGTTTTTGTGGTTTAAGCCACCCACTTTGTGGTGATTTGTTATGGCTGTCTTAGGGTATTAATAGGTACCCCTCGGTGGTGTAAACAGTCACTGCGTTTGGCTGCTAACTGTAGGGTTGGAGATTCCAGTTCACCTACAGGTGACTCTGAAGAAAGGCCTGGTGATATACTTTTAAAAATCAGCCACTGAAAAACCCTAGGGACCACCATTCCACTCTGACACACATGGGGTTGCCATGAGCCGGAGGCTGGTTTTTCTGACAGGAAACGCAGACAGACCCCATGACGTGAGGCTCACTCATGAGCAGCTTGAACACCAGCTGGATGGAACCAGTGCTACAAAGGAGATGTTTGAGTACAACATGAAGGAGGCTTCTTAGAGGAGGTGGTCTCTGGTGGTCCTTGCTGGATGGGAGGGACTTTGGTAGGTGGTAGTGAGGGCTGTGGTGGGCCAGTCCAACAGAGAAAGCAGGTGGGCATTGGAGAAGATTTCCTACTAACTGGTAAGGTGGGAGTACATGGGAGGGTGGTGGTTTTGGAGTAACCGTTTTGGGCATGGGCTGGGGAGACAGTGAGGTAGAGACCACGCTTGGCAGCCCTGAGGAGTTTGGACTTCCCGCTGTATGTTTCAGGGTGCTATTGGCATCTTGAGCAGAAGAATGGACACATGAGATCTGTGTCTAGAAAGGCAGACTCTATGGGAGAGTCTGAAGACCCAGGTCCCGCAGCGGGGCTTGATGCTTCTAGATACCGAGTTTGTTCCAGGCCTTAGCTCTGTAAGTTTCTCTTTACAATTTTGCTTAATGATCGTCCCAGTTAAGGCCCTTGCCCCAGTTGATCTGCTGTCATTGAATCACCACCCCAGAGAGCATCTGCAGGGCAGGGTCTTGGACCACACTGTGATTGTGCTGCTCCCATTTGGGCTGTGGGCACGTTTTCATGCACCTGTCTTTAATGCCCCTCTCCCCTCTTCCTCCGGGTCCACCATCCACTACTTCCTGCTGGTTAAAGCCATCTCCTTCACTCCAGGGCTCCTAGTAAGCACTTGCCTTTGTCTTCCACATCATATTTTGTTAATGTTTCTGCTCTTTCTGGAGGGGTGAGTTCATTGTTTGTGTATATTCTCAACAAATGAGACATGGAGAGGTTTGGGCCATCTGGCCAACCCTGCTTCCTCTGTCCTCTGTCTTTGGTTCTAATGCAAAACCTCAGTCTTTGGGCCCTTCACAGACCACACTCATCAATAAATCAGCAATATTAGTAAGGACTCCCCCCACATGCAGGGGAGAGGCAGGTGGGGAAACCACTCTAATCCCCGATCGGTCCTCATGGGTGGGGAATGGGGGGCTCAGGAAGCAGCCCAGCCCCAGAGACTAACATTCCCAGCAGAGGTCATGGCCTTTGACACCACATTTGGGAAAGGTCAGAGATGTGTTTTCCCAGGAGACTCAAAGTTTGGACTTGAGCCAGTGACCACTTCAACACCTCATCTTCCTTCCTTCCTTCTCAGCTACCTGTTGTCATTAGATCAAGGAAGTTGGCACCACACAGGACAAAGGTGTTGCCAGAAGAGGCTTGGAAATCCAACAAGGATCCATGCACGCGTCCTTCTGGATAGAGCCCCTCTGAGTCTTGACAACAGTGGGTCCCCAGCTTCCTCCAGACTTGAACTTATAGACTCATTTGAGGAAGCCGGCCCAGCAGTGCAGGCCTGGCCATGTATTTCTGGGCACTTCTGGCCTTGCCTTAGAGTGAACTGAGAAGAGGTGGCTCACTTTCACTTTTTTCTGCGCCTCCTGCCACCTTCCCACAAGTGAGCGGGTGCCTGCCACTTCCTTTAAGGTTGCCCCTTTGGGAAGCCTTTCTAACATGCCCTTTAGCGCCTCTAATAAAGCAAGCCTTGCCATTTGTTTTTCTCTGCCATGGCCTCCTCTGGTTCTCTCTCCAGCTTCATGCGCACATAGTCTCGGATGCATAATGGCAAATCAATCAGCTAGAAAATGGCTTAGAACTATCAGATTTGTCAAAGCATTCTGGGGGAAATCATTTACTTTTTATGACTCAATAAGGCCTGGAGGCATGCAGATGGGAAAATATCCACTAATGTTTTCTGCAGATCATTTGAAAAGTCACTTCTAGCAGATTGTGTCTCTCCTCTGGTCTGTGGGAGGGGACCTGTCACATGGAGCCATAAATCTCTCGGGCTGAGCTCCTTTATGTGTGCCTTTGCATGCAGTGTGCACGCTTGCAAGGCTGTGGATGCGCGACAAAGGGGCTTGGCCAGCCAATGGGAGTGGGCGTTTGACAGCCAACTCAGAGGCATCCTTTGTGCACCCCAGCTACAAGTGGGAGGGATTTGGTATCTGAGAGTTGTTCAGTGTTGGTTCAGCAGGGGTAAAATGAACTGGCCTTTGGAGCGTTATTTATCAGAGCAACTCCTGACCGACTCCTCCTCCCGCCAGTCACGTCACGCGTTGACTCCCACGCACAGCTCCCTTTTGTGCCCCAGATTGGAGGGGTGGGGGTGGAAGACCTGACAAGGAGAAGTCTATGAGGCTGTGGACAAGAGCTGGGGAAAGCTCAGCCTGCCTGCCAGCTGTTTTCCCTTCTTTTCTTCTGCCCTGCATCTTTTTGTTAATATTCATTCTGGCCAAGAGATTGATGGCGGATGGAGATTCTCAACACCAGCCACCAGAAGTTGACTGCATGGCGGCACATTCTATCATTGTCTTCACCTGTGTTCATGAGATGCTCCCAGGTTTGAGGGTGATTAGGTAGCTGCCTGTGTCTGAGGACATCTGTCCTTGGCTGGGATGGAGTGGGGCCAGGCCTGTGCTTCCAAGAGATGTCAGCCAGAGGCTTGCTGAGACCCTCCTCTGCTACGCTGAGAAGATGGCAGGCACATATCCTACCGCATGGTGGGATATGCCTCCAGAACGCACCTCACACAGAAAATGATGTCATGGAAGAAGGCAGCCTGGGGCCATGGAGGATCATGACTTTGAGCAAGGAGTTTTTAAACTACACAGGGCCAAAGGGGAGAAATGATTCCTGCTCTCTTTAACTCTCCCAGGCACTATCACAAAATGAGCAAAGAGAAGCAGAGGGAATATGACACAAAGCAGAGCCATCCTATGAGAAGAAAGAATTAAAGACAGGCTCCAGGGAAACAGACTGGGCATAAGATATGTTAGGGCCGAGGCCAGGGCAGCCGTATTTGCTCCTGTATGTCTGCTGCCTGGGACATAATGCTTTGTATTTACATAGCGAGACATCAATGTTGAGTGCAGGAGAAAGAATGAGGAAAACAGGGCTCATTTTGGACCTGACAGTGGCCCATTCAGGCATGACTTGACTCCAGTGGTTCCAATGTTAATGTGCATCACACTCTGGGAGGGCCTGTGAAAGCACAGTTGCTGGGCACACCTACACCTACCAGAGTTCCTGGTTCAGTGGGCCTGGGATAGGGCAGAGAATGTACACTTCTAACAAGTTTCCAGATCTTTGAGAACCACTGCTGTAAACTAGGTCCCTGCCCTCAAAGGGAGTCCAGGTGTGGTGCTATGGGTTAATGCACCAGACTGCAGAGCCGTTTGAACTGCAAGGTCAGCAGTTTAAGCTCACCAGAGGCTCCTTACAAACCCTATACAGGGTCACTATGGGTCGGAACTGAATCAACGGCATTTAAAAACAACAACACCCTCAAAGACCACTGACAATGAGCATGGGACTCCTAAAGGGCACGTCTCTGATCTGTGGGCAGATCCGAGGGAGATATAATCACTTTCAGATGTCTCAGACTTTACCCCCAGGAATCTTAAACATCTCTTCTGCTGAGAGGCCCTCTCTGGCCCTGAGACCAGGTCAGACCCCTCTGCAGATGTTCCCCCAGCTGCCTGTACATCTGTGTTCTAACCCTCCCACATGGCTGTCATCGCTCACTTGGGGTCTTCTCCTTTACAAGCAGTGACTGTGCTGGTCTTACGCACCATGGCATCTCCAGCGCAGTGTCTGACATGCAGTAGGCACTCAGTGAGTACTTGAAAAGTAACAT